GGCTGCGCGCACGGGTAGTGGGGCTGTGCCCAGCCCCCCCCCCCCCCGCGCCTGCGGCGCTCGGCTTTGTAATTAACGTCCCCGCGCAGAGCCATCAGCCCGCGCCCACCCGGGTGTGTGCCCGAGGGCGCGGGCGGGCCGGACGGACGGTGGGGGCTGTGCGGCGGTGGCAGCCCCGGGCGCCGCATGTGCGTGGTTAATAACGAGGCAGCAGCGATCGGGATGGGCGAGCCCGGCCGCCCCAGGCTCCTCCGGGCGGGGGGGGGGACGGGGACACCCGCCACTCTGTTATCTCCCGAGCCTCTCTCCCAGGCAGAACTGATCCTCTTGAGGGAACGAGGGGGTGGGGGGAGAGTCTCGACTGCAAATACTGCTTGGAGTTTATTAATGAGGGCGTCTGAGCGTTGAGGTGCTCTCCCGTGGCTCCCGGTGGATGCTGTAAGGAGCCAGGATTGTGGTGGGTTTCGGCTGTGCAGGGAGTTGGGGTAGCGGGGGGGTGGGGGAAGGAAAAGACACGATCGAGAGTAGCTGAGACTTTGTGCCCCCGTTGGAGAGATGGTTGAGTCCTCGTCAAGGTTGCTGTGGTATCCCAGAAACACCATTCACTCCGAGCTGTGACCGCGCACCATCAACAGCAACAACTCCGCTGCGCCTGGCCGAGGAATAGGAATTAAGAGCTCTCAAGAATAATATGAAAGGGATCTGCAGAGGGGAAATTCGTGCAAAGGAATCGAAATTAGCAGACTTTTGGGAAAGGGGATGTACTAAATGTGGCCGGCTGGACTTCATCCTGGTGAAGAAAATGGAGATTAAAAGTGGATTTACATTTTGGAACCTCGTCTTTTTATTGATGGTTTCGTGTGTGAAAGGTAGGGTAGTATTTGAGGGGTATATTTTTAGGGGTCCATTTGCTTTCGGTCAGGGCGTTGCAAGCTCTCGCCTAACACCAAGGGATATTTCAAAATGTATTTATCTCCTATTTTATATTTTTATCCTGGGTACTTTGCAGTGGAAATATATAAACGATCGCTAAAGCGGGGAGGAAAGAAGGAGTTGATTCAGAGCTCTCCTCGGAGATAGAAAATGTATTTGCTTGCCAGGGTTGGTGTTCAATGCAGTGACTGAGCTGAGGCTCAATAAATATTCTTGCAGTATGCTCAAACGGAGACGTGAGTTGGTTCATATAGCCTCTAACTAGTGCATATTCAAACAAATCCCACGGGATGACTTTTTTAAGGTGACGATGATGATCGTGCGGGGTGGAGGGGGGATTACCTACAATTCTGATTTTCGGTCGAGCAGCTCTTTGCGGGAATGCCTGTATCGATGCACTTATTAGTTTAACCCGTTGCGTGGGGAAAGTTACGGGGGAGCCCAGCGTATGCGTAGCCGTCTCACAGCCCGAAATGCGCTTCACGCTCGGCTGTCTGTACGCATGCAGGGCTCCCAGGCTGTCGGAAAGGTGCGGTGGTAGTTCAGCCTTGAAGGCATGGTGTGTCGCTGGGTGCAAAGATCGACACTTTTTTTCTCTCCTCCTTTGGTCCCTTTTCCCTGATGTATGTGGGGGGTTTTGGCTTGGGCTTTTTGTTTCTCTCTTTTTTTTTTTTTTTTTCCGGGGCAAGGGCTATTTTGGTTTCTTCTTGTTTCTGCGTTCATGAAAGGAGAGTAAAAAGGAAATGTCTAGTTAGCGGCATAAATATCTCCACTAAGTCTGTGCTTGCAGACAGTTAAGGGAAATGCTACACACAGAGAAAAGAAGAAATATGTGGCTTGAATAATGTGCACCTGCAGAATTACACAGGCATCGCTAAACAGTGGAGTGCCGATCCCATCACGCGTGCCTTCAGTGAAAGGATCTATTCTGCAACTCCGAACAGTCGGCTGCCTACCCGAAATAATCTCCCCTTGTTTGTGACCAGTGATTAATATCCGATTAATCACCCTTTTATCCCCCTCCTCCCTGCCACACTCATACACTCCCAGAATATTTAGTAGACGTTATCGATCCTCTCCGAGTTTTTAGACTTGGTTATCGCCTACAGAGGTTGCCTGCACGAGTGGGAAGAAGATGTTTTGAGGGGGGGTGGCATTCAAAGGCGTGCCTTCCCGAGCTGGCTCTGGCTTGGATGAAACAGTTTATTGTAGAGCTTTGCAGCTGCTTGTCCCCCAGTTTGCATCGCGTGGAAAAGACATTTCGCGTTTCACGGGGAGAGGGGTGTCGAAGGCTTTTTACCTCATCCCACGTTATCCTGACGCAGGGTATCCAAGGGGAAGGGGGCTTAACTGCGACGTTTATGTACATTTTAATTACAGGCACATTCTCTCTGTTTGCATTTATTGAAGGGAGCCGCTCCCAGCGCTCTGCCCCGGTCTGGAGATGCTTTGCTATGAGCGCAGACCAGGGGCTTTGGGGGCATTTCTTTTCCCTGGTTCAGCCCCTTGCCATGAGCGCGTTCTCGGTGCCGGGTGCCAGGGTTCGTCAGCCCCGGGGCTGGCGGCCGGCCCAGCGCGCCGTGCGTTCCGCGGCGCCCCGCGGGCGCGGTGCGGGGGCGAGCGGGGGCTCCGGCGCCGCTCCGAGGCGACTGCTTTGTGAGCGAGAGTCGCGGGGCGGCAGCATCCGACCGAGGGACGGGCTGGCGCGGCCGCGGGAGCGGAGCGACTTCCCCAGCACCTGTTGAGAGCCGCCTCGCTTGCCCTTGGGGGTGGAGGAAGGAAAGAAGCTGGGCACTGAGGGCAAAAGCTGAGATGAAGCACCTGAAAGAGCCCAAGAAAAAGAGGGAAAAAAAGGGCTTTGCAAAACTGTCCCTTTCTCTTCCTCCCCATTGTCAGGGCCTAAGCTTTCCAGGTGCTGACGAGGGCAGTTTCCATAGACTTCCCTCGGAGTGGGGCACTTCTCCCAGAAACTGCAGAGCCAGTAGGTCAGATTTTACATCCTGGATGTGGCTTCCTTTAGGCAGCCAAGCTCCATAGAGCTGACTTAGACTCACTGCAGCACAGCATCTATTCTGGGCATTTATATTTAGTCCTCTTCCCCACTCCCATGAATGAAAGCATTTTACTTCGATTCACATTCCCTTTGTCTCAGCACACACTTGTGTCCCCAGAAAGCAGAGGCAAAGAATGAATGAATACCTGCCCATTTTCCCGATTTTGGGAGCAAGATGACTCCCCAGATTCTACATCTGCTTTACCATTGACTGGCAAGGCCTTTTTACCACACCCCGCCTCCACAAGCTCTAGCCCATACCCTTTCTTACTTAAACACTTCTACTGGTCTACAGCACCACATCATAACACCCAAACTCTTGCTGACATTCCTGTCATCGAGATCACTTCCACAGCTTTGCTTGAAATCTGTCCCTCAGGCCCTTCCTACTTTTGTCATTGTCCTGTCACCATTTCTCCAGTCTCGATCCACAGCTCTCCCAGTGTTACAAGTGTCAAACTATCTCAGGATGCTTAAGAAACCATGCTCATATCTGATTAATTAAGCACTCCTGGGATGTATTAATAGAAACAAAAACTACCCCTTAACATTTATCTATAAATTCGTGCCTCTTTGGAACCTTGCAACAATACTTGGAAGGGATTAGAAAAGGGAGAAGAAAGTAAGAGAAGATGGAGGGAAGGCAATTGTCAGAACCTCTGAGGAAGGGGTGATATGAAGAGCTAAAGTAAAAAGGAATTGTACTTTCTTCAGTGAAAATCCTGCTTACACAATATTCCATCATGCCCTGGAACAATCTCCCATAAAATCTTCCTTGAATATCCATGAAGGAAAAAAGCAAAGAAATGGCACCATTGGAAATTGAGAGAAGGCACAGAAGGCATTAAAACAAATGAATCCACAACCCAACCTTAGAAAAGGCCAAGCAGAGTGATTTCTGGCCAGCTACAGTGGGTCATGAATCCTGTGCTCTTCCTTTTAGATATGTGAGACACCTAGCAAAGCTCCTTCCCCTTCTCCCACACTCCCCCACCATGGGAGAAATGAGAAGCACCACTGAGGCACGGGAGATGGAAACCAAGTTTGGAGGACTAAGGATAGGAAACCTCCACTGTCAACTCCCTTACGGAAAGGGAAGGAGAGGGCATAAGTGAGGGGGGAAAAATTAGGCAGCATCAGTGAGCTTTGCTTTCTGGGATTTAGTAGAGGAATCACTGATAGTTGCACCTCTTCGGTTTGGCACCTCCCTCCACCAAAAAAAAAAGAATGCTTGCGATATGTTAGTGGAAGGAAATCAGAAAGGAAATCAGGCAAAATGACCGCAAGACTTCTCCCTCTCTTCTGTTTAGCTTTCAGTCCAAGACAGACAGCACCAAGGTCGGCTCTTTTGTCTGCCTGGCTAAAATGAAGCTTTGCCGTTGCTGTTGTTCCTCCGTTCCCCTCTTGCAGTTTTGACAAGCAGCTTTCAAAATGAAAGGGACATGAAGCACTGAGATTTTAAATGGCTCATTGACAGAAGAAGTGATGAGAAAAAGGAAAGCATTTCCATTTCCAGTGATGGGTACCTGGCATGTGGGAATATGTAGCAGGGACAAAGCGTGCCCTGTTTCTTTCAGCCAGCTCTGCAGTATCCCTTCTTCCCCATTCCCACCTCAGTCCCGCTCCCTTCATGCTCCGCCGGCCCCTCCCCACCGCTTCCTTCCCAGTGACTGGACTTAGTGTTACTGGTGATGGGTATGGGGTTACTGGCGGATGGCTTTGCTCAGTGGGGCACGGATGGGCGCAGCGAGGTGCTGGCTCTGTCCCCGAAGTGGGAACGGTCGGGGAGTAACAGCAGGTTTAGGTTTCCTTATTTCCAGATGGTCGATGCTGCTTCTGCATCTTTGTGTGTGTGTGTGTGTTGTGTGTGTGTGTGTTGCGTGTGTTTGTTCATGTGTTTGTGTGTATGTACCTATGCAGGGGGGCAGGGACACACTGACTGGAGAAGGGACAACGCCGTCCTTCCTTTTCAACTCTTCCACACACGCTCACCTCCTCCACGGTGCCTCTTTGCCATAAGCCCCCGCAGACGACACAGGGCTTGCTGTGCTGAGCGGGCACCGCATCTCACTGTTTTTTCAAGCTACGCAGTTCTTCAGGGTTGCGGGCAAAGTTGCCTCTCTCCCCCCCCGCCTTTCTCAGGGCTCAAACAAGGCTCCGCTGTGCCCCCGATTGGCGCTCGGCTCCTCCTCCTCTTCTGCAGGGCGGCAGTGAAGAGGCACAAGACCCCTCCCAGCAGCATCGGCAGGGATCGCTTTTGCCTCCCCTGCCCGATGCCATTAGGGACCCGCATAGGGGAACCTCACCTTCGGTCTTCGCATTTTCATTGCGAGAGGCAGCAGTGGCAAGGCGGAGCCGGCACCGAGCGGCGGCCGCCCCGCCAGGAGCCTCCGCCGGGCGCCTCCACCTGCGCCCGGCACCGGCCTCCGCAGCCGCCCGAGGCGGCCGCACCTCTGAGCAGTCCTTCTTAATGCAGTCTTCGGGCTTTTGGCTTTCCTTCATCTCGGTGACTCCTGTTGGCAAGTCTGAGGCAGCATTAGGGGTGTCGGTTGGTTGGTTTGCTTTGCTGACACACAGAAATAGCCCCTCGCTCGCTGAGCACTACTACCCCTCGACGAGCAGCGGGGTGCTCCGTGCAGCCACACAGGCTGAAGAGGGACAGGTTGTAGCTTCACCTCTGTTATCAACGTCTCGATTTGCAAGCACGAGCTCAGGAGACTTACAGAATTCCGTGGATGTGCTTTTAAATCCCTCCTTTTTCAAGACTCTTGTGCAATAAACATAGCAGGAACTTGTAGTGTACCTACGGTTTTTTACTTCCTTCTGTGTGCGGGGTGGGTGTTTTTGAGCAACAAGTCAAGCAGGATCAATTACCTTTCTAGC